AAGTGGCGCTGTGGCTCAAGTGGTAGAGCACTAGCCTTGAGCTGAAGAGCTGAGGGACAGCGCCCAGGCCCAGAGTTCAGGCCCCACAACCGGACCAAAAAAAAAAAAAAAAGATTGGGAATTTGAGGCCAGCCTGAACTACAGAATGAGACTTTGTCTCAAAAGAAAAAAGGAATAAATTAAATCCCAGATCTTTTGCTGGCTCTTAATAAAGTAAATAAATAAATAAGAAAGTAATAATGTGATTCTCTGTGAATTTGGTGTGAAACACCTGGGGCACGAGCAGCCGGGAGGCAGGATCTTAACTGCGCAAATCCACTTTCCAGTGATCGTACCTTCTCTTCCTGGCTGTGTCACGCGCCCGTCGCTCCTTCTGCGGAAATTATACTTAGAAAACAATTCCAAGCGATATTTCAAGTCAGGCCAAATCTGGAGGGAAGAGCTTTTCTGCAGGGGGTCTGTGACCAAGGCATCTTAAGGCACTTTCAAAAATGACTTTTTCTTTTTTGCTTTTTGTTTTTGTCGGTCATGGGGCTTGAACTCTGGGCCTGGGCACTGTCCGTCAGCTCTTCAGCTCAAAGCTAGCTCTACCACTTGAGCCACAGTGCCACTTCTGGTTTTCTGAGCAGTTTATTGGAGATAAGAGTTTCACGGACTTTCCTGCCTAGGCTGGCTTTGAACCATGATCCTTAGCTCTCAGCTTCTTGAGTAGCTAGGATGACAGGCATGAGTCACCAGCATCCAGCCCAAGGCCTAAGGTTCTAAGTGAAAATTATTTAACACATTTTTAAGATTATGCTTGTGTGTGTTGAGATACAAAATTCACCATGTTGGAGTGTGCAATGCAGTAGATTTTACTGATCATTTGAGCAGAATTAGTAGCTGTTAATCTTTTTGTTGTTGTTGTTGGTCATGAGACTTAAAGTCAGGATCTGAGTGCTGTTCCTAAGCTCTTTTGCTCAAGGCAAGCACTCTACCACTATGAGCTGCAGCACCACTTGGATTTTCCGGTAGTTAATTGGAGATCAGAGTCTCGCCAACTTTTTTGTCTGGACTAGCTTTGAACCATGTTCCAGCCTCCTGAGTAGCTAGGATTCTAGAACAATAGTAGTGTACATATAGCCCAAGTATTTATACACACATATGCCACACATTGTAGCAGCTGTCATCGGTATGTCATGGAGGACCCGGGAGTTAGGCCTGGAATGAAGGCATCTGCCATGTGCTGGGGCGTCATTTCGGGCCTAGAAGTCAAGGAGATGCCAGAACGTGCCTTACGAGCTATCCAAATGAGGATGTCTCCGGAGGTCCAAGTTTTAAGAAGCACCAGCATGGCAGCCAGGGAGTGGGGGTGGGGGAAAGCTCTCCCAAGGCGATTGCTGTGCCTGGCCTGTGGGATGCGTGGCAGCAGCTCTGAGGTGTGCAGGGGTGAGCCTCCGTGCCAGCTTTGCTCTGGAGTCTAGCAGTGGAGAAAACTAGGACTGTGTTTGCTGACTTTTCCTCCCACACCAAGGTTACCTTGCAGATTCCCTGTTCTGCCCCCAGTGATTACGATGTTGAAGAGCCTTTGGCATAGAGAGGAGTCTGAGGCCTGACAGTGAGATTTCCCTGACAGTGGAGGCGTCCCGTCTGGCGGTCGGGCTGGGTCTTGGTGGTAGAGCATGCGCCTAACTTGGCCAAGGTCTGGGTTTGATTCCCAGGACCACAGAGTGCATCTCCACCAGTATTGGCAGGAAGTCTGTTGTGTGGCCCAGGGAACCAGGAGAACAGGTCCTCATGGTGGTTGCCCCATGGAATCTAGGGTCCCTTGACGGATGCAGGTACCAACCACATCGCGAGCAGTGTGGCTGGTGGGTTAAAACTGTGATAGACCTCAAATGAACGTCACAGGCCCTGTCAGATTATCGGCAGGTGAAACAGCCTCACCACCACGTAGCTAGACGGAGAAACAGAGGCCCAGGAGGGGCGAGTGTGGTCCCAGTGGGCACTGCAGGGATGGGCGCTGCGTCAGGGTTACAGGAGCTGTCGGGGGGGCTGTCTTCCACTCAAAGGCCCTGAGGCCATGGCTAGCCCCTGGAACTTGGTCAGCGGATGCCATTGGTTGTGTGATTGAAGGCCGTAACTGGTGCTGGGCCTTGCCACAGAAACAAGCACCCAGGACCTGGCTGTCCATTTCCTCATCTGCAAAACCGCAACAGGCCTAACTTCCTACCACGGCCACAGAAAAGGGCAGATTCCACAATGGACACAAACAGGTTGGCTTGGTAAAATGGGTTGAAGCAGATTTGCCCCGCGCCTGCGGTGGTGCTCTCCTGGGAGCAGTTCTGATGGACAGTGTCTTGTTTGTTTGTTTTAGATTTGTTCCTTATATTGGAATTGTGACAATCCTCATGAATGACTACCCCAAATTCAAGGTGAGCACTAGCTGCATTTCATTCAGAAGGAAGGAGAGCTGGGGTTGGTGGTAGAGCAGCACTTCCCTCGTGTGAATGAAATCTGGGGTTCCATTCCCAGCGCTGCCCCCCTCAAGAAAGAAAGAAGTGAAATAGCCATGGCGGAAGGTCAGGTTTGGTGAGAGAACAGAAGACTGGCCCGGACGACGCCCTGTTCATGCCCCAGAGAGGAGCCGGAGATCCCTCCAGAGGGCAGCGAAAGCATGAAAGAATGTTGGATAGCCGGGTTGTTTCTGACCTGTGCTTCTGTGTTTTGCTTTCTAGTACGCAGTACTGTTTTTGCTGGGCTTATTCGTGCTGGTCCACCGTGAGTAAGAAGCGAGCCTCGCCGTTCGTTCCGGGAAGCCGCGTGCTGTGTCCTGGCTGTCTGCAGTAGATGTTGGTCTGTGGTTGGTGGAGAGGAGCACACGGGGTGCTTCTTGGAGCACTGTGCGCGTTATTAGTTTATGTTTCCACGCCAGAATGCGTGTGGGCGGGCACGTGGGCGCCATGCGTGCCCGCGAGGGGACGTCCAGTCATGGGACTTCACACCTTGTCATCGCCCCACTCACATTTTGTACATCCGTGGATCTTTTTATATTAAACGGTTGAGCCAAAGCCCCCAGTGTTTGTATTGCGAAGCCCAGCTTCACTTCTAAAGTGCCTCAGCGTGCTGTACACGGAAGTGCAGCTCTGCAGAGTGGACCACTGTCCCGCGGTGCCGCGCGCGTCCATGAGGGTGGCGCCAAGTCTTAACTTTTCCAATTTCAAATAAAAGACTTTGCACATTTAACCCCTATCCCTGCCTTGTGTTTGTTGGGGAAGCTCCCAGAGACTGCCTCTGGCTGGGCTGCCTCCCCTGAAGCTTTGAAAACAGCACCCCCCACACCCCCAGTCGGGGCCTTGTTTGTAGCCTCCTTTGTTCCGTTTTGCTTTTGTGAAGCAGAAGGAGCCATTGACATTCATAGGAAATCTCTTAGTCATAAAATTGCTTCTTAGCAGTGCGTGACTCAGATGCGTGTAAAGCAGTGGTGTCACTGACAGGTTGAGAGACTGTCGCGTGGCTGTGCGTGCTCATCACCCTTTGTACCCTCTCCACACGGGCGGCAGCGGGTGGGGGGGGGATCCGCCCAAGGGCACAGCCTGCTTTCTCCTGGTCGGGAAACTTGTCCTGAGGGTCGGCTTCGCTTAGGAAGCAGAACACACCTGTGTTTCCACATCTAGGCTCCAAAGAAATGGATGCAGGATAAGCTGGTGTGTGTGAAGCACAGAGTACACTTTAGTTCTGTCTGGTCTTGCTTGCTGCACAGTGTGTGAGGATGCGGACTTCCCATGCTGCGCCTCAGGTACTGTGGAGGAAGTCAGTCCTAGTGCAGCCCGCCCAAGGAACCGCCGGTGGAGCAGTGCCGCCTCAAATCCTCCTAGCCAGCCCTCGCCGCTGGGCGTGCGTGGGTGCCTGATGTTCTCCACAGAGGAGGAAGCCCGCAAATCACTAGCACATGCTCTTCTGAACCAGTCTCTGGGCTTACAAGGTACTTAGGTTTTCTCATGCCCTGGAAGCACAGACAGTCCCTGTGCAGCTGGCAGACAGTGCCTGTCCCTTCTCTCCTCCAAGTTGCCTTCACAGAACGGGGCTAACTGATGTGTGTGGGCTCTGCTTGATTTCTTCATTAGTCTAGGGTTCTGTGCATGCTAGATAAGCACGCTACCTCCCAACCCTTTGTGATTGTTTTGTTTTTTGTTGGTGGTGGTGGTCATGATGCCATGGCTCGGCTTTTGTGCCAGCCTCCTTTGCTGCCCAAAGGTGAACTCAGGGACCTCTCTGAGCTTCACCTCCCTGAGTGTAAACACCCTTGCACTTACAAACACAGCTCTGTGAAAGTATTCCTTTTTTTTTCTCTCCTTTATCAGGTGCTTCTGTTGCAAGCAACAGCTAAAATTTCTCTGAAAAGGCAACTAAAGCATTTAAAAACATTTGAATCGCTCCAGTGGCCAAAAATAAAAAGGTTATTTTAGGGGAGAGATAACGTTTCCCATTTTTTGTTTTTTGTCAGTGGGGCCTGAACTGTGGGCCTGGGCGCTTGTCCCCCAGCTCTTCAGCTCAAGGCGAGCGCTCTACCACTTGAGCCACAGCGCCACTTGTGGCTTTTTCTGCCTATGTGGTGCTGAGGAATCGAACCCAGGGCCTCTTGCATGCGAGGCAAGCGCTCTACCCCTGAGCCACCTGTCCAGCCCTCCAGTTTTTATATTAGTTATAGGAGTTGAAAGTGGCAGGTTTTGCTATCCCTGCATATGTATGTGATACAGCTTGCCCCGCAGCGCTCTGCCGCGTGAGCCACGCCCTCCGGCCGGGCTTGGCCGCCAACTCTGGGTTCTTTTGTCTGGCTGCTCAGCCGCTGGTTTTCAGGCTGGTGTCACTATACCCATCCAGGCTGCGCCCGGGGAGCTTGGCACCGGGCTCCCGGCAGCCAGGGCAGCCAGGGCGAGCGGGAGGTCGGAGGACCCTGCTCGCGGCTCATCGCCCGGCGCCTGCCTGCCCGCTCTGGGCGGAGGTGGTGAGCTATATCGGGGAGGTGTGAGTGCGGCCGGGGCGGGGGTGACGGGGAGGGGAGGGGGACAGGCTGCTGCCCCGCCCGCTGCCCCTCCTGGGATGGAGGCCGCAGTGGCCAGGCCAGGCCTGACAGCGCGGGTCCGGCACCCCG